AAGCAAATGCTGTTGCAAATCAATAATTTCGGTACGGATTTTCAATTGGTACTTAAAGGGTCGGACAGAAAATAAAGCTGATGCATCATATTTTAAAATAACGAAATCGTCTAATGAATTTACTGAAAAGAACACTTAATTTTAAAACCCTTCGAAATGCCACTGGTGGGAGAAGAGGAGATTGACATAAAAAATTGTAATTTCCCATTTAATTTTCGCTCATTTCTACCTAAAGTTTAGATTAAAAAATCATATATTTTCATATAATAAATAGCAAACTTGGAGGAATTGCAGCGCTCTTGCAGTGTTGAAATCAATTCGCGCATTTCCTGATTTTGAAGTTGCATTTGGTGCCAGAGATCTCCAACACTACATTAACGTCAACTTTTGTTGAGGAAATCGAGATCTTACTTTTGGATAAAGTTGACTCCTTGGTCGGTATTGGAATTGAATTCGTTTTTTTCGTGGTTAAAATCCAACTAGATTATAACAGAAAACGTATTGAGAAAATATTGACACAAAATATGCACATCTAAGCGTAGTAGAATGGTGTATGGAGTCACATTTGAGTAGAAATACTAGGTTTTGTGTCATTTTAATGCATATCCGTTGATTCTCCTCCTTTTCTCCTTTTCTGAGCCAAAGTGAACGTTAGGATCATAGTAAATGTTGGGTAGTTGGATGACAGTCAATTTGTTGCCAAGTTTGTCCTATTTGCAGTAGAGGGTCATTAATCAATACAGTCGAAAATATGCAACTTCTGTTACCTCCCCAATCGAAATCTGGAACATTCCACAAATATGGAGTGATTTATCTGTTGTTTAGTGCCTGTTCACCCGAATATTATCATTGCCTTTTTTACCCCTTAAAGTATTTCGCGAAAAAAATAAAACTCTGTACGTTCCGTCGTGTCATGACAACGTAATTCATGAAATAATCTAAATAAATTCGTCCACTTTTCCCCCTGGCTATAAATGAATTGCAATTTGTTGTCTTAAACAAGCAAATAGTTTTCATGTTAATTGCTTCAATTTCTACATCTTAATTGGCTGCTTTTTTCGAAATTTGCCTTAAGAAGAATGTAATGACTTTGTTACCAAAATGAAATGTTAAAATAATACTATACCGCTGATGGTGATTCCAGACTTGACTTTGATTTCCACACAGAAGAGACAAGATAACTATAAATCTGCTTTGGAACAGCACTTTCAAAACGATCGTACCAATCCACAGTCCGAGAAATCAATCGAATGGCAGCTTGCTTACGAACTGCGTCTATATCACCCACAGCCAATCCAACCTAATATAGCCAAAACAAATATTTCATTTAAAGTATCTAATGAAAACAATATATATGCTACTCATTGTATACAGACAAGAAATCAATACATATGTTACAGTTATGGGGTGTGCGATAGACTTACCTCCACGTGGTGCCGGCAAAAAAGTCTTCAAACCGGCAGTTGACTTCAAACTACTATCACCCCACTGTATTTCATATTCGACATCTTCCACAGTACTTATCTCACCTTTTTTCTACCCTTTCTAACTTCGTCTTCGAAACTCTTCTGTTCTTCCCCCTCCTCTCTCGGCTTTTTTTCACTTTGATGTTCCTCTCCCTTTGTGAAGCCTGAAGTCAACTAAAGGGCCAATGATAGCCATCAAAACGCCTGCCATTTGATATAAATAAACAAATAAATGTTACAGTTATCAAATAATCTCAATTTAACATATGCACTATACATTATTCGCGATTTGCTTCAGGAAGCTCATCATCGTTAAATTCGATCAGTAGTCGCGATTCCATGGTTGGGGGATTAAATTTGTGCCCCTCCGTTTGGAGGCATTTTGATCATCGCACAACACTGACCTGTCTAACAGGCGCTGATTTTTATTGATCACTAATCACATGCGAACCAATCAGACAAAAATGGTCAACTTGTTTTAGCGACTAAGGNATCTAATTAGTATGAACACGTTAATTTTATTTATTTCAAATGGCAGGCGTTTTGATAGTTATCACGAACCCTTTAGCTGGCTTCGGGCTTCACAGAGGGAAGGAACATCATAGTGAGAAAAATTGGAGAGGGGGAACAGAGGAGTGATTCAAAGATGCAAAAGACAGACATTCTCAGAGGCAGAGAATATGACATACAGTGGGGTGATGGTAGTTTGAAGTCGGAAGTCAACTGCCGGTTAATAGACTCTTTTGCCTTAGGAGTATACGTTGCCCAGGGTACACCACGTGGAGGTAAGTCTATCGCACACCCCTGAACAAGTTAACTAAAAATTCCCAATTTGAAAAATATACAATATTGCATTGTGAAATTGAGGAGGTTTCATAAATGCTCAAATAACTTTCGTTTTTATCATGCACATAAAGCAAAAATCAGAGTATGAATACCTACATTTGTACTAGAGTCAAAATATCTCATCAATTACAATTACTTACATTGAAAATGAACGGCCTATGGGGTAAAAGGAAAGCTATGATATAGTAGTTATTTCAAGCTGAAAAAACGCTAATCCAGGCTGTTTGGGGTGTAAAGCACTGAGCAATTCTTTAAAAGAAGTTCTTATCGCCATGGTAAAACTACTGTGAGAGCCATATCTAACTAGACTTAGTACATCTTCTGTTGTCAATAGGACATTTGGCTTTTTTTCCAGTAAGAAGGACAAATGTCAAGTCGGAGCTGGTAACTGATAATGAGTGCGAACTAATTAGCCAGGGGTGTCGGCAAGGAAGCTTGACAGAAATTGCGTCTTTTGTGTATTTGAGTGAAGTACAATTGGGTCACACAATACATGGAATGAATGAACGGGCAAACAGGTTGGCGTGCGTCGGTTCCATTAATCCTATTAAGCATTAGGTGTCAAATACATAAAAATTTGTTGGAGATGAAAGGCTGAGTAAGCGATTTATTGATAATGCAATATCCTCAAAGTAGCACCTCATCTCTGTCATTCTGACAATGTTCAACTGACGAATGATCGCACTTCCTAAAATTGCAAGTAGGTTGACTTGAGACAGGATGAAGTTTACTGATTATAAGGTAATTACTTTAGTATATAATTAAGGTATGAAATAGGTTCTTCTGACTCAAAATCGATTAAACAGAAGAAGATGTTAAAATTGTTTCATACACATTTTACACTTTTTTGTTGTTCAAATCGTCTTTTCAAGCGGAAGAAAAAGATCTTCGTTTTTTACTAGTTTAAGCCGGAAGATAACACTTGGCTGAATTATGTATGTTGAGTTTAATTATTTGCCATTAAGAGTCAATTTTAGATTGATGCCGACTTTACAGCTTGAACCTAATTTTAGTTTAAAATACTGGCCTGTACTTTCACTCCTCATTGACAGCTCAATTAAACTGAAATTAATCTATATTAACCCATTAACGCCCATAGGATCATACGGGGGTCTTTCACAACAAGCTCTTTTTGTAATAGACTCGTAACAGAAGACGCTATTGCCATTTGAAACATGTTCAATACGTCTATAGCCTTTGTCTGATACACCGCCAAAACTCATCACGTCGGCTGCATCGGTCTGCTGCAAGACACCCGTGAGTACGATTGGGTACATTCTCAAAAAAGTAGTAAGGGCTCTGGGACACGTCATCGCATGCCTGCACGCCAGGATTGGGAGGTGCGATCGTACAAACAGTGACCAATCATTAACCTCTGTTTGTTTAACCTAATCCGCCATCCTGCTCATGATTAAGCTTCCTGCGTTAACACTTTTTATCCGCAACATACCCACGGAATAAACGTGCTCCGTGCTACACGTCTGTTTCCTTTATAGCGTGCTCCGTGCTACACGTCTGTTTCCTTTGCGTACTCCGTGCTACACGTCTGTTTCCTTTATAGCTGGGCGCCCCGTGCTACACGTCTGTTTCCTTTATAGCTGGGCTATAGCAACACGTCTGTTTCCTTTATAGCTGGGCTATAGCTTAGCTGAATTATACGTCTGTTTTCTTTATAGCTGGGCTATAGCTTAGCTAGTTCGGGAGTCTAGCTAGATGTAGGAGAATCTGCCAGAGATTTCTCGGGAGTCTAGCTAGATGTTGGAGAATCTGCCATAGAGACTATCTTGCCATCGAGATTTCTGAGTCAGTCAGGCTTTACTAAGGTGTTTAGCTGGTTCTGGGAGTCTAGCTAGATGTAGGAGGATCTCCCATTGAGATTTCTGAGTCAGTCAGGCTTTACTAGCGTAGCCAGAGATTTCTGAGTTAGTCAGGCTTTACTAGAGTAGCAATATTTCTGAGTCAGTCAGGCTTTACTAGCGTAGCAATCCGTGGAGCTATAGCTTAGCTGTTCTGGGAGTCTAGCTAGGTGTTGGAGAATCTGCCATAGAGATTTCGGTCAGGCTTTACTAGCGTAGCAATCCGCTACAATGCAATCCGGTCAGGCTTTACTAAGGTAGCAATCCGTTACAATTCTCAACCGGTCTGGCTTTACTAAGGTAGCAATCCGCTACAAGTCTTTAACCAAGGCTTTACGAAGGTAGCAATCCGCTACATGTTCGAGACTTAGGGAGCAATCCGCTACAAGTCTACAAAACAATATACATAACTAGCGCACCAATCCGCTACAGGGCGTTAGAGGGTTAATAGATCGGTCATGACACAAGATACATATTATTCAAATGAATTTAAATCTACTAAGAAATATAATATAATTTTAAGAAAACAAACATGGAACCATCATTTATTTTAGAGCGAATGATGGAAAGAAATTAGAATTTTTATCCTGTTAAATTATTACCTGGCAGAAAAATTATTAATTCAATGAATAAGTAACAAAATTTTGGCTTTTTTATTTGAAATATTGATATATAAAAGACAAATTAATTTTATTTAACTTTTTTAAATGGATGTCACGTGTTTGCAAATATTTCTGCCAAATCCATTTTTCTCCTTCTTTAAATCAAGGATTAATGTGATCATTGATCATGTAGTAATAAGATTATTTCAAAATATTACCAATAGGTAAGCATGAGCAAGCGTTCAAAGTCGACAATGAAAATGAGTAGTTCATCGGATGAACAAATGAATGAACAAAGTCCTGGCAAGTCCAATCCAAATCTCGACGTCACAAATACAAATTCTGATGTTGACCGTGAAAATCAAATCAGTGAAGAGATATCGAAAGTGAATCGCTTCTTAACTGAAATAAAAATTAAAAACATGTTTCATATCTCGCCCAAGATTAATGTAAGCTCTTCGCAGCGTTTGTCTACTCACAAGCAAGCGAGCAGACCAGGACAAAATTTGATAAAAACAACACAATTGAATGCCCTTAGGACTTTTCATAGATTATTCAGAGGTAAGTATCTATTGATCTCCTTACAAAGTTGCCTTCTAAGGGAAAAAGGAGCTGGATAAAGTGATTCGGGTAACTAAAAGAGGTGACCGAAGCAGTGGACTTAAGGTCAATGGAGCGAAAGAGGAAGAAAAGGGTACAAATGGAATCTCATCTAAGACTGACACCACTCAGACCACATTCCTTACCTCAACAACACTTTCCTCCTCCTCAGATTCTAGCACTTCATCGATCTTGGATCAAGAGGAATCAGACAATGATGGTGCAGAAGATGAAATCAAAGAAAAGAGTTCCCCTCAAGCTCCTTCTTCAGGCCTCTAGATCATCCTAATTCCATTCGTGTATCAAACGAAGAAGGCTTGGAAGTTGACCGAAAAATATTATTGAATAATTATATAAATAAATTCTTATATCTAGATACTTAGTTTATAACTGAAGTTGAAGACTATTTGTCGTTTTGAGGCCGTAAATTTCGCGGAAACTAAAATATATTACATATTTCGGTTAATTTTATCTCAACTGTCTCGAAGTATTATAATTCCGCTATATGAGGGTGGATGCCTTAATCTTGAAGTACCTTGACCTTGATGGAAAGAACCCTAACTTTTGAATGATATAAGTGTTAGTGACAGAGATTCAATTTTCCTGTGAATAGTAGATGATTTCTTATTAGAATTGCATAACCTAACAATATTTTACTAAGAAACAAGGCAGTAAATAAATAGATGTATGAAATTACTTTTGAAATTAGTAAGCAGGAAATAGAGAGCATAATATTGAAAGCGTTTATTGCGCATGTTGACAAGCTACCCATCCGATTGGCCAATATTACTCTACATTTTATAAACACAATTGCTTATTGGCTGGGAGATTTCCGCAAGCACGGCTCTGCAAATTCAAGACTGCTTTACGGCGAATGAAGCAGCGTTTGACTCCACTCTCCCCTATGTCACGTGCACAACTTATGGATCTGTTGAATGGATGATTTGTCGTTTTAGTCAAGTCAACTTCTCTCAATTTCCGGCAAACTAGATCAATGTTAATTACTTTAAAACAAGCAACCTCTTCGATAGTTAGAATTTAACCAATTCAAAAAGTCAATAGACTATTATATCTGATTTTATTGGTAGCTCGAAACCAAAAATAGAGCCTTTCTGTTGTAATAGCGTCAAGAAGACAAAGATTCACAAAAATTAGTTCCTAGTGAACCAGGGTTCTTAGAAGAAGAGGTAGAATAAAATAAATGCTAATAATTATAATCATTATGGTACTTATTTATTAACTAATCAGGATCCTGTTTGAAGGATATTGGCGATAAGTTGCAAATCGTAAATCTTCGTGAATGATCATCAAAATGAAATTTAAATGGTTAAAAAATCGATTATTAATCACTCGAAGATCTGTGCCTTCAATACATCAAGTTGATATGTTAAATTAGCGGTGCCTAATGGTTTAGAAGATTTTTAACCAAAAAAGAGGATAGTCCAAAATGATACGAATTCAATTGACAACGAATTTGCGATGTCCATCGTCGTAGACGAGGAATTAGATATTTTCCTCTTAGGAAATCTTTCTAACAAGAATAAAAATCACTTGAAATAGTAATAAGTAATAATTTAGGAGTGTGCGATAGACTTACCTCCACGTGGTGCCGGCAAAAAAGTCTTCAAACCGGCAGTTGACTTCAAACTACTATCACCCCACTGTATTTCATATTCGACATCTTCCACAGTACTTATCTCACCTTTTTTCTACCCTTTCTAACTTCGTCTTCGAAACTCTTCTGTTCTTCCCCCTCCTCTCTCGGCTTTTTTTCACTTTGATGTTCCTCTCCCTTTGTGAAGCCTGAAGTCAACTAAAGGGCCAATGATAGCCATCAAAACGCCTGCCATTTGATATAAATAAACAAATAAATGTTACAGTTATCAAATAATCTCAATTTAACATATGCACTATACATTATTCGCGATTTGCTTCAGGAAGCTCATCATCGTTAAATTCGATCAGTAGTCGCGATTCCATGGTTGGGGGATTAAATTTGTGCCCCTCCGTTTGGAGGCATTTTGATCATCGCACAACACTGACCTGTCTAACAGGCGCTGATTTTTATTGATCACTAATCACATGCGAACCAATCAGACAAAAATGGTCAACTTGTTTTAGCGACTAAGGTCAGGTTATCAAACCCTGTTTCCATTCTCTCAGAGCTGATCCTCGAAGTCTTTCAGCTTCTTCCATAGGCTGTCAGAAAGCTTAACGCTTGATCTTCTCATTTCTGGGAATGATTGCTATTTCCTACGCGAAACTCTGCGGATCATTAGTTCGCTTAGATGAGATCTAGCCCGATTTTGACAGGTTCTTAACATGGCCTTACTCGGGTGCTTTTTACTACCTTGCATTCTTAGAGTTCTTACTGACGAAATGCGTCAAGAACGAATTCCTTACTATTGATTTTGCTGAGCAGGTTCACTTTGCTTCTCAACTTTTGTTCCTATAAATTAAGCATATTTTGCCTCTTCTGCACTTTAGATGAGAGGAGTTTCAACTCATTGCAAACCATTATTGGAATACTCGGTTTAAACGTTAAAGTGTCATCTTACAACTTCTCCCTCTTTATATATATATATATGTTCTTCTTAGCTGGAATATTTTACTTCTCTATTATCGCCCATGGGTCCTTATTTGGATGGGTGGTTATCTGGTTCCAAAAAAATGGTTTCATGACTTTGAATTCTTTGTTTAACCGCCCTGGGAGGACTTTCGGGAAACCCGGGTAAGCGTAATGTTTTTCCAATGAAAAAAAGAATAGTTAAAAAATCGAAACGGGAATGAATTAAGGAGGATGTACGCGCCCGTATTAACTCACCAAAAGGTTAGTTAGTATCATTGGAGCGAACAGAAGAAAAACGATAAACATAATGAGCGTGACTTCAGGAAAGTGCATCGTTAATGGATTTCCATCCGTAAGGGGTGCAATTATAGTTTCTACAAAGTTGACATCTCCCAGAGACATGGAGAGGACATTCAAAATCGCCAACTGTGGTGTCTGAAAAGCGCTAAGCATGGGACTCAATTCCAATGGATTCGTCCCATTGGCTTCACATTCGTAAATGTAATTGTAAATGGGAAAGCAGTGGGAAAGTTGCAACTTCTTCTCCTCCGGCATTGACTGATAAATCTGAAACAAAGAAATTCAAATTTATGCTGATCCAAACCGGGGTGGGCGATAGACTTACCTCCACGTGGTGCACCCTGGGCAACGTATATTCATACGGCAAAAAAGTCTATTAACTGGCAGTTGACTACGATAGACTTACCTCCACGTGGTGCACCCTGGGCAACGTACTTTCTTACGGCAAAAATTCTATCACTCGGCATTCGTTTTTCAATAGACTTACCTCCACGTGGTGCACCCTGGGCAACGTATAATCATACGGCCATACGGCAAAAAAAGTCTATTAACTGGCAGTTGACTTCTTAAAAAAGTCTATTATTCGGCAGTTGACTTCTGACTTCAAAGCGGCAAAAAAGTCTATAAACCGGCAGTTGACTTCTCACTATCGGCAAAAAAATTCTATTAACCGGCAGTTGACTTCTGACTTCAACGCAAAAAGGTCTATTAACTGGCAGTTGACTTCTCACTTCACAAAAAAGTCTATTAACCGGCAGTTGACTTCTGACTACTCAAACGGCAAAAAAGTCTATAAACCGGCAGTTGACTTCTGACTGAAAAGGTCTATTAACTGGCAGTTGACTTCTGACTTCAAATAAAAGTCTATCAATCGGCAGTTGACTTCTCACTTCAAACTAAAGTCTATTACCTGGCAGTTGACTTCAAACTACCATGACAAGTCTATTAACTGGCAGTTGACTTCTCACTTCAAACTAACAAGTCTATCAACCGGCAGTTGACTTCTGACTTCAAACTACGTCTATCAACCGGCAGTTGACTTCTCACTTCAAACTACCAATCAGCCCGACTGCTTGTCATATTCAACCCCTTCAACAGCACTCGCCCCACTGTATGTCATATTCGACTACTTCCACAGTACTCGCTGACTCCATGTCATATTCGATCATTTTCACAGTACTCACTCACTGGCATTCTACTACATCCACAGTACAGACCTCAGCTTTTTTCTACCTTTGTGCCTGTATCTTTTACATCTTTGAAACACACTTCTGTTCCCTCCCCATCTCGAATTTTTTTCACCATGACATTCCTTTCCCTCTGTGAAACCTGAAGTCAATTAAAGGGCTGATGATATAAAGTGCTGATCCAAACCTTCAAAGCTAAGTTAAAATTACGCGTCTATGTATGTTGCGTCACAACGAATCTGAAGTTATGTCGGTCGATCCATATGATGTCTCCTCTTTGCAGACTTTACCGAGTCTATTTTGACTATTCCTATTATAAGCCAAGATTACTCAGGTTGAATAAATCTAAGCAGCCTTGTCCCAAAACAAAAACTCACAATTTACGTGTGGACTTCTTAGTGTTTGCGATAATAAAAGTCAGAAAAAAATGTTTTTCTTGCGCGATGACTTACCTTACTATCCGGAACTTTTAATAGGACGTAGAATGGAAGGGCACAGGAGATCATAATGAGAATGACAACCACAGCTGATTTACCCAATGTTTTAGCGACTTGAAAAAGCATGACAACGAATATCCCAACAAAATTGAACCTATACCAAAAGAGTTAATCGTGAATTTTGAAATGAAGTTTTAAGTTTATTGTTATTGCCATTAAAATAAATACTTGTTCTTACATTAATTTCCTCCATAAAATAAAAAACGCATTTTCTAACATGCCCAACATAGGATGATCTTAATCTTTCCTAGAGGTTTTGAACACTAAACCCAATCACTTTAGTTCATTTTCCAACTTTGAGATTAATCAGTCTGTCTAATTGTCATGCGCTCAATATCTTATTTTGTAAAATTTAAAGTACAATCAGCCAACCACTGATGACCTGTTCGCTTAATCATGTTATACAATGGGGCATATATGTTAGATTCTTCATTCATTTGTCATTAATTGGTAATAAAAACTCATTAATTAATAATCATAAATGCAAAAGCTCAACGTTTTTTATTCATTTCTATCATCGAACGTTAGCGCAAGTGCTTTTTTTAAAAATGTGGGGTGTGCGATAGACTTACCTTCACGTGGTGCAGCCTGGGCAACGTATACTCATACGGCAAAAAGTCTATAAACCGGCAGTTGACTTCTGACCACACTGCATGTCATATTCGACTACTTCCACAGTACTCACATCACATTTTTTCTTAATTTTCTACCTTCGTCTTTGAAACACTCTTCTGTTCCCCCCCTCTCGACTTTTTCACTTTGATGTTCTCTCCACTCTGTGAAGCCAGGAGTCAACTAAAGGGCTAATGATAACCATCAAAATGCATGCCATTTGATATAAATAAATAATTTTTTTTAAATGTGGTGTACTAAGGATCATCCTTAACCAATTAACTGTCTCCATTGTAAATTGAACGCGGGAACTTTTAAAGTACCTCATAAGGTGAATGACGAAATAACTCCAAGCGAGGTATAGGGCGATAGCCCCCATCTCGACGAAAAGATGGTCGGTGGCCTTTCTCAATGCCATCACTGTGTATGCGATCGACACTGCGAACACCGCGATCGAATAGAAATTGGCAATATTCTTGAAGAATTTCAAGCCCTAATGGAGAACAAAGGAGATCAAGCATCAGTCAGATGTAATAAAACAGAAAGACAAATTTTAATAAGGATGTCAATAGGAATTGAAGAAGCGAGACCAATTGTCATGACCAAAAATCTAGCCAATACTAAAGCCAAACGTAATTGTGTGCATACGCTTAGTTCCCTGGCAAGTATTCAACATGTTCACGAGACTCTGCTAAGAAGTTCACTGAAATCAATCGAATGTCTCCATCATCGTAGACAGACAACAAACGAATTTCATGCCAGAACATGCTGAGGCAATCACAAAGTAAGAGTGATGCATGTATTACAATCTACTGACAATGCTAATCGACAATAAAGAGTTAATAATTAACATTCATAAGATGATTGCGGAAACCAGGCCAATGAGTAACGAGATGCTGGTCACTTTCTGCGAGTTATTGAACGTTTATTGCCTTCCTATTTGTACCATTTTACATTTTCAGCATTTTCATTCTTACGGAACCTCTTTTAGCTTGGTCATCTGGTAATTTTAATAAATTATTTATTTATTTTTTGGCCTTGTCTTATTAAATATTATTTCCTCACCTCTGTAGACATTAGTATTATATTTTGTATCTGACATATTGAAGCTGTGATAGCGATCACATAGCTCAAAACCGCCTGCAAACTTCGTTCCCCCAGCGTGTCGAAGACCTACAAGTTCAACCGAGCATTAATCATTACAAACACACACACACTCAATTGCATTAAAAGTTCCAATGTCTTATTTACTTACGAGATCATAGCAAGTCTCGTTGGGCACTTGTGTCAGTGTATGTCGCATTGGATTGTGATCAAGTACCAAGACAGTTAGACAGGCGAGATAATTGACGTAGAAGATAGTACTTATAAGATGAACCCATAGGCCGTACTTTTTCCTAGAAGTCATGAAGGCTATAAATTGCGGTGATGCTGAACTATTTGATTCAACGGGCTGTTTCTTTTTGCACCCGCTTGTTAAACGCATTTTATTCATCAACTGAAAGTGAACCGCTTTCACAATAACTTTATTTACCGTTTCTTCTTTGTATATTCAGCTGGAACGGGTCATTGTAGCCCAAACGATTTAAGGAGAGGCGTTACTAATAAATAATGATCACTTTGCATACTTCATCACAAACAATGTAACTAAACCCATGGCAAATTGCTATTGTGGTATTTCAAAAATTGACAATCTGTCACTAGTCAAGGAATTGTGTTAGTTTGAACAGTGTCAAAGCTGTAAATTACAGTTTGCGCAAATGAGGATCGAAATTTGCCTAAATTCTAACGTTAGTCGTGTTTTTGTGGCAACAAATGAAGATGCACATGGTACACAATCCTCCTTCATGGAAATAGATTCTTCATCTAGTCTTACTGAAACCTTTTCTTTCACCCTTGAGGGTAATAAGAGCAAAGGAGAAAGGGCGAAGTGGAGGGGAGAGGGAGGGGACAAAATTGAAGACCAAGCTCCAGAGATATCTTGACCATTCAAGGAAGAAATTATTATTTAATCATTTGGAAATTAAGTTAAGTAGGAACACTGACTCAATAACTTATTTAGTCTAACTGCGTAGTGTGTGCCTACAGACATCTATCTAAATACTGGCGATCCCTCTCTTCTTGTTCTTCTTCCAAATTCCATCTCTCTAAACTCTAGTCTCATTTTTCCACCTCTCATACATTTTCAAACTCTTCAGGGCACATTTATCCATCCCCACTAGGGAAGTGCTGCTGCTCCCTATTATCATTAGAAGGAGAACTTAAGTTAAAGACAAATATCTAGCCTAATTTGGTCCTATTCTTAGAAATTAGGATTAATTCTCCTAATGATCTGCAAATATCAATCAATGAGAGGCTCATTTTACTCATTGACTTTGAAGTGATTATAACAACTGAGTGTTTTTTTTCAATTAAACTAGCTTTCAGTTCAATTTCTACCATTTGTAGCGCAGTAGTGCGAGACACAGAGGATGAACGATCAACTCGTTCCGTTGAAGAGATATCATAACCTGAAATAGAAATACCAAAACATAATAGTACTGATAGTAATACTAATAATATAATAAGTAGTGTGCTCATTTCTTTAATTAGGTTTAGAACTAAGTGCACTTGCTTTAAGTAAATGAAGCGGTGAATGGTCCGTTTTATCGAGGAGTTTGGCTTTTGGCTGAAGAATTGTGAAGTCGTAGGTCACCTGGGAAAATATACGCGGGATATTACCATATCCACTTAAAAATTGTAAACGAACAGTAGTCATGAAGTTGGTGGTACTTACTTCATAACTTGATTCGCGTGGATTCCCTGTCTCCTTAATATAACGATCAAGTATGATCTGAAATACATTGGCATTATTTTAATGGTCAAATTGTTTAATAATATACAGATTTAATGTGTATTCACTTACAGGACAGAGGTTTGGGATTTCGCGAATTACCTCTTCGACTGGACATTGGCCTGTGTGGTTTAGTAATTCGATTATCTCATCCCACCTAAATGAAACGTGACGTTTTTAGTGGAATATCGATTATTATTAACCGCAAGTGCGAGAGCACCTCGTCCCATGATAGGTTGGCAGTTATTCTGGGGAAAAAAGCTGTTTAATGGTGCTTTGACTTTTAGACATCAAGAATACGAAGATGACTTGTATTCTTGGTATTGTTACAAGTAGTCTCACAACCTCGCTGTACCAACGTTAAGCACTCGCTAGCAGCCTAAGTGCACCAATGAGGAGATTGGTTGGATCAGGCATCTTGCCACTATCGCTTCATGTAAACCCTACAAAATTATTTCCCGGTTAATAAAGCGCCTTGATATGACTGCAATTCTGTCTTCTCCACCTCTCCACGTTTGAGTGGTTAACTGCAGGCAGACCAAATGGAGGGAAAGGGGGGGGGTGCGTTGAAGGGGTCACATTTTCTCACCACGTCTATCGTTGAACTAGAGCTTTAAATAATTGTATAGAAATCGTCATTTCAAGTGGAGGTACAAATAAATCCTAGGGGGATTAAATTTATAACGTATCTCACGCTTGCCCAACTTACCGTTCGTTAAAAATAATGGCACGGCTGGTCCTGAGATTCTTCTTTTTAAAAGCCAGAGAAGTGAAGTAGAATCCGTTGCCATCTTGAGAGAATTTTGCCCCACTGTTCATCAGGTAAGTGACCACACTGTCGTGATCATTTTTAGCTGCGTAATGCAATGCTGTCATCTAATGAGGAAATGAAAGGTTTCAGGACAAAAGTTTTATAAAGTCGACTTCAAGCTTCACAGAGGAGAAGGAACACCAAAGTGACAAAAAGTCGAGGGGCAGGAGGAACAGAAAAGCGTTTCAATGATGTAAAAGAGATAGACACAAATCCAGAAAAAATATGAGATGAGTACTGTGGAAGTAGTGGAATATGACATACAGTGGGGTCATGGCAGTTTGAAGTCAGAAGTCAGCTGCCGGTTAATAGACTTTTTTGCCGTATGAGTATACGTTGCCAAGGATGCACCACGTGGAGGTAAGTCTATCGCACACCCCCAATTCTGATAAAGTAAACTGTGCAAGTTGGTTAGAGACTAAATGACAATTATTTGTTAATTCATTTTCTAAATTCATCATTTGGAATTGGCTCATTCCAAATAGAGCGAAACGGAGACATTAAAGTTCCTATTGTATCTAAATTGGCTATTTTCAATTGATCAAAAATGCAAACCTAGGTGAATAAAAAAAAATATAATCTGTCATTCGCTATTGATTAATACCATTCCATTTCATCTTATTGATTTTTTTATAATCAGAAACAGCTATAGTAACAACTATTATTAAAATAATGACTTTTGTGACACTTCTAAAGGTACTTTAATGTACAGATACGTCATAACTAGGAAATAAATCAATGAAATTTATTGCTCAATAAGAAATTATAATTCATCTCTTCATTCTTGTTAATTAAGGACAAAATATAATTCCTAGGGGAGTTGCATCAATTTTTGTTTAATTGAATCACTTTGAAAATTAAGAGGGAATACAGTTGGTTATACCACTTAAGTACATGTTTTTGTTCCAGGGTGTGCGATAGACTTACCTCCACGTGGTGCATCCTGGGCAACGTATACTCATTTGGCAAAAAAGTCTATTAACCGGCAGCTGACTTCTGGCTTCAAACTACCATGACCCCACTGTATGTCATTTTCGACCGCTTTCACAGTACTCACCTTACCTTTTTCTCTACCTTTGTGTCTGTCTGTCTCTTTTACATCTTTAAGCCACTCTTCCGCTCCTCCTTATCGACTTTTTTCACTTTGATGTTCCTCCTTCCCTCTATGAAGCCCGTAGTCAACTAAAGGGCTAATGATACCTATCAAAACGCTTGCCATTTGATAAAAATAAATAAATGTTTTTGATCCACTTAAAAAAATTTTTCAAATAGAAGCTTCATAAGAAATTGGATTCTCTAAGTTGATGAACTTACTCCTCTGAAATCCCTAGCGTCGATTATGCTAGAGTTCGCTCCAAGTATACTTTTGCAGGTTTCCAAACAGCCGACTCTTGCAGCCCAGTGAAGAGGTGTTCTCCCCTTCTGACACCTAAAGGAAAACTTTTAGCTGGGAGAATTTCGCTCAACCATTTAATTCAAAAGTGCTACTGACCTTCGGAAGCTACTTCCGTTGGCTATAAGCAAGGCGACAATATGTGAATGCGCATTTGCGGCAGCAATATGCAAGGGCGTGCAACCATTTGCATCCGAGGTATTCATTGACCAGAGACCGTGGTCAGTTCTCAGCAGACTTTCAACTGTAGCTACGCAGCCCTTCTTCGCTGCAACATGAAGCGGGGTCTCACAAGCTCTATTCTGATGTCGGCAGTCTGCTCCACAGGCTAACAAGTCACGGGTCACACTCAACATGCTACCACCTCTCTTGGTAGCATAGTGGAGGGCGGTACAACCGCACTCATCTTCTTCGTTGATAAGTCGACAATAAAGACCATGCTAGATAAAACAAAAAAATGGAAGCGAATCAGTATTTTGAAGTAATAGTGGCATTCCAAGCACAAGGTTAATTAATCATTTCTCTCCAATCTCACCTCTCGTATTCGCCTCCACAGAGTGTCATCTTTCAAAGCCCCATAGTAGATAGCCAACTGCAAAGCATTACGCTGAAACAGATCTCTAGCGTTGAGATCGGCACCGAATTGAATGAGTGTCAGACATGACGCAATGGCACATTTTGTGATCGCAAGTAGTAATGGTGTCCAACCATTGCTATCTTGAACCTCCATGGGTGAATGCTACAGGTAAAACCCCATTATGAGTCATATTCTATTTAACTGAAGTTTTTTTGGTCATTCACTCACTCGTTTGATAAGAAACGCTGTAAGATTAGCATGATTATACATGACAGCTAGATGCAAAGGTGTATGGCCACTACTATTAACCCCAGACAGTAGTCGAACTGTCTCCTCCTTGTCATTCCAGTTCAGCAGGGAAGAAAGCACCGTTACTTCACCGCGTCGTGCTGCATAGTGTATCACACTGCAGTCGTTGTGTTGGAGAGCAGTTAAATCGCTTCCATGTTCCAGGCAGAACTTTAATCAGGAATAAGTTTTTATTAATCAAACTACTTTTAATTGCTTTAAGTAGCCTACTAACATCAATCATTTCCATGTTGCCACTGTTTACGGCAAGATGTAGCGGTGTATCACCTTCACTGTCAGGTAGATTAATTAAATTTGGTTCCATGAAACTAACATCTGCTTCATCTTCGCAGCCTTGATTACCTCTCCTTGAGAGGTTCCCGTGATCAAAGAGGACTCGAAGACAATCCATACTACCAGACGAGACGGCTATGTGAATTGGATACCTTCCAATAGCATCTACTTTGAACATGTCAGCACCCATTGTTAGCTGAACCAATTAAAACGACACGATTAGGCACTACAAGGCTATGGGATGAATATTTATAATAACTAAACCTGCATTACCACGTGTTTTAGACATTCAGTGCTATTATTTCGACAGCAACAGTGAACCACGGTTCCACCGAATTCTCCTGCTGCGTTGATGTCAACATGTGCTGTTCGAACAAGCTCCTAAAGTCAAAATACAAATGTTGATAATCATTATCTAAAAGGTATACGTACATCGAAAAGGTGATGTGATTGACTTTTAGAGATTCAGCATCATTCATTTCGCATGCAAGATGAATTGGCTGATTATTTCGATTGTCAGCTATCTCAGCGTTACATCCGAGAAGGAGCAGATGATATAGAGACGTGATCTGTTGTTCTAGAATGGCCAGATGAAGTGAGGTGTGGCCTTGACTATTTTGCTGATTAATATCTAAAGGAAGAAGCAGCGTAAGTACGACAATTTTTTTGCAGAAAAAATTTCAATTTTAGAATCGCAATAAACGCGCGAAGGTGGTTAAGTATAACACAGACACTGCTGCCCACCTCCCATCCCCCACCCCCCCAATATTTCTTTTCACTGGACCAAGGCAGATGGTAGGATACTTACGGTATCGATTTTTACTTTATTCTAACCATCCTCGAGGTCACACCATATTGCCAACTTTCCTAAACGATTTATTATAATGGAACACACTGAACACCATTTGAGACACAGCGAAATGAGTTTGATCGACTTCCTTCTGACATTAACTGCATTACAAATGTCCTTCTAGATAAATGCATCTCATATTATACCCCAAGATATGACCTAGTCTAAACTTCTTTCGGTTTTGGAAATTTTAAGAGGGGGGGGGACATTTTGTCAAGTGAAAATTACCTGCTCCTTGAGAGACTAAAAGATCGATTATTCTCAGAAAGCCACGATTTACAGCATAATGGATCAAAAAATTTCCTCGACTGTCTCTCTGTGCCACCAGATTCGGGTTATCCACAAGGAGATCAAAGAGCTCTACTGCTTTATTCCGATTCACACACTAAAATACAAAATGATTTTGATATGTTACTATTTACAGTTAAGTAGTAGGGTTTCCTATTCGATTTTCTTACCATGATAGCGGAAATGAGTTCAGATTTCGTTCCGTCACTGTCGTCTTTGAGTGTGCTAAGGCGGTAGGAAGCAGATATCTCCGATCTCGATACATTGATACTTGCGGCATCTAAACAATCACCAGAATTCCATGCCAAAAGTTTCTCAAGGGCATTCGGTTGAGCCCATGGACTCTCCAGGTAAGACTGTGTAACAAATGAATCAATTTCGTGCGAAGACTCCTCACTTTCACTAAAAGTGGATCGATGTGGACGGTAGAGACTGCGTCTTTCAAGTGGCAGAGGGACGTCTTGATTGATTGGTAGAATTACATCGGTCACAGTGATAAGGGGGTATGTGGGCCTCCTACAGTTCAAACAGTTCAGAACAGAGTCAAAAATCTTCTAGATAATAAAGCGTGATTTATGTTGATTATTTTAAGGAAAATGGAGAATATCGTATACATCCTATTGTCTTCACTAACAGAAGGGAAAAGTCGTGAAAGTATATGCTAAAAATGATGAAAATAGATCTTCGCTCTTGGAATCCAAAGTCAAATGCAAATTTGGACTAACTTAACATTAACACGAATCCCTATCCAACTGGCATGTAGATTTCAAAAAATTTAAATTTTATGGTTAAAGAAATTTTAGAAGGAAACTGAAAAGATTACACCTATTGAAAGTTGATGAATTAGCTCTATTGGAAAATAGAGTAAAATACATTATATTCGACAACTGTGATATATCAAGAATTTGCGCATATATATCTTAAAATAATTCAAAATATTCTATATTTGGCGCAATCTCAGTTAGAAAGCATTCACCTATCAATATATATTATCTTAACTTTATGCTATCACTTGTTGCTTAATCCTTAACCGCCCTTAGGATCGTAGAGTCCTCTATTAAAATTAGCTCCATTGGAACTAGACTCGTAAAAGAAGGCTCTATTGCCGTTTAAGACATGTTCAATATGTGTCTATATAGCCTTTGCCTGATACACCACCAAAAGTCATCACGTCTGCGGCATCAATCTGCTACTGTGAGACAAGCATGAGCGTGGTTGGATGCATTTTGCAAAAAAAAATGATTCAGGTGTTAAAAGGTTAACAGAAATATGACAATATTTAAAGTATTAAACAAGTGAAGATCTCATTACCCACTGAGAGTATCAGTCGGCTGCTCCATGCCAAGTTGTGCCTGCTAATGTCTCCACAGACATGACGTGCCTAATTTTTAGCAAAACGTTCTGAACTCTACTCCAACCAATGGTATAGCTAATTAACTTGGAGTTATTAACAAATGGCTCTTTCGACGCCAGAAAGAACATCAACACTCAGATTGCCATTATACCATAGTTTTTTTACCGACCGTTTTATATTTAATTCAATGAAAACTATTTGCCATCACCGTCTTAATTCTCAAATTGATTGCTCAAATATATATATGCAGACATGATGGTCTGCTTATCAAGTAGACTGAATTCATGGTCAATATTTGCTCAATAGTAATTAAAACTTACACCAAGGGGTATGAGCAAGCAATCGATACTGTGATGTCTAGGCGATAAGAGCTTTTGGTCCAGCTCTCTCACCCTCTGGCGTCTGTAGTTATCCCCCTCCCCTCCCCCCACGTTATAAACAACTATGTACACCACGTACCATGTGCTACTCGCTTCC